GGGGAGAGGCGGCGCGAAGGGGCAGGCAGTTGAACAATGGCGGATAATTACAGGCCGGTAACGAGGAATGGCCTACGACGGTTCTCCGCCGGAGCCGCGCTTTTCAACCCGTTTAATTAATGCCCGCCTATTTTTCCGTTTCCAACCCGTTTCCCGACCGCGGCCGCGATCCCGTCGTCTAATTAATAACGCGTCAAGACGCTCGACGCTCGAAAAGACGGCCCGATGTCGACTCGATCCAAACTCGTGTTTTTTTTTTTTTTTTTTTTTCACGTTTGAAATCGTTTCTCTGGATTCTTATGAAAAAAAAATCCTCCGCGTTATCTTCGACTCGCCATTTTCTTTTCTTCGTGATCTTTCGTTGTCGCATCCCTCGAAAGTTTTTTTTCGAGGAATCTCGTTTAAATAAATAACGTAACTCGTTCTTTTCGTCACTTTATTCGCAAGATTAAAGAAGAAAAGAAAGAAGGAAAAGAAATCGGAAAGAGGTATCATCACAGGTTCGGGATTAAAAGGGGGAAATTATCTTGCATCTCTCGTCGAAATTTTTTAATCTAAGTTTTGTTTCGTTAGGGAGGGGAGGGAGAAAGGAGAGAAACTCTGATCGATATCTACTCGGATACTTGCAGTGAAACCATTGAAAGTTGAAATTACGAAAAGGGACGAGATTCTCTTGGCGGGGAAGAAATACGAAACTAGATGTCAGAGCACGGGATCGAAGCCGCCCGCCGTTTTAACCTGGTGGAAGGCCTCCAAGCAGCTCAAGAGGACGATCAGAAACGTGAGTACAGAATTGTGTGTATCTCTTTTCCTTAAAAAAAAAAAAAAAATTATACGCCTGCTTAACCTAACTTTCCCGTCACTTGAGCCGAAAAGAGGGAGGAGATGATAGGTGATAAATTATTAAAACGGAAGAATGAAACGATTCTCGAGTTCTCTCGATGGAATGCGGATGGAATGAAAATAACGACGTCTCGTCGATCGAACGATATTTCGTTCTAACGATACAGAAGGAGAAGGAGAATAAAGTTTGGACGACAAGGCGTAAAAAAGATCTCTAAAAATAAATTCGCCTCTAGGCATCCCCCCCCTCCCCTTATTCATTCCCCTTTTACATTGCCTCCATCTATCTTGTTTCTATCTTCTCTCGAATCTCGCTATCTTCGTATACCTTCCCCCTCCCTGCCACGCTTCCATCGACATTCCAATTTATCTCCCCCCCCCCTCCCTCCACTCCACTTACAACGACATTAGAAACGTCCTCCTCGCCGTCTTAAATGGAAGGAGGGGGAGTAGGAGGGATGGGAAAAAGCGAAAATATGACTCGATATGGGGGAAGGGAGTTTTAAATTGATTACACGACCAGGTTAACACCGCTCAACATCCCCTCGCCCCTTTATCCACCTAACCTAACCTAACCTTATCGGGATACGTTGGAATGCGATCGCGCAACAGTTGAAACGAGGCCAATCCCGTGGTATCCGTTTAACGATTATCGTCCAACCAACTTTTTCCTTTTTCCCTTATCTCACGATAATCCTCTCCGCTCATCGTGACAGCGATGTAAGATTTTCCTTTTTCTCTTTTTTTCTTTTTTTTCTTGGTTCTATCCCTTTGCCTCGAAGGGTCCAAAACCTTTTTCCTCTTCGTCTAGATAGAGAAGAAAGAAAGGGGGAAGGCCTCGCGCGAGCATCGAAACTTTTAACGATCGAGCAAAGATCGGTCGTTCGGTCATTGTTTCGATAAAATTAACCCTCCTACCTTCCTCCCTCCCGGCGACAGGTTGATTAAATTCCCGGATTTCCGGTTACAAGGGGGAAAGAGTGTGTAACGATATCGGGTCGGGGCAGTTTGCAGTTTATTGGAATGATTGGAGCGTCAAACGATATCCTATATCTCTTGCCCATATCCGCTTACATAACGATTCAATAACCGGAAACTGTAGCCTCGATTGCAAGATTGGATACACTATTGTGGGACGGGAGAAAAAAAAAAAAAGTTTGTGATGCCTTTTTTTTTTTTTTTTTTTTTTTTTTATTTCTTTTTTGATCCTCGCTTCCCCCCTCCATTATCGGTTCAAATTTTCGAACATTTGTGAGTGGACACTTGTTGTGACATCGATCGAAAAACTATGATGGATCGTTATATTTTTATCAAATATCGTCGATATATTTGATAAAGGCTTGTTCAAGCATCGAAATTTTTCACTTCTTTCTTTCGTGTTATTTCGAATAACACGAGAATGTTAATTCGAATATTAATTTCTCGACGATTCTCGTTGATAAAAACACATCGAAAAGTTGCGAAAACTTGGAAAGCTTGGAAGAAAGGAAGGATGCTAGTCAAAAAAATTTCGCCTATTCACCGGCAGGCGCGAAAGGGAAAAATATGAGAGGCATTAAAAAAGAAAAAAAAAATAAACGAAAAAGAGAGACATCACAAACTTTTTTTGTATATAGCGTAACCCTCTCCATCTCCATATCTTACGATTTAATCTTTCTTAAAATTCCTCTCGAGCCCATAATCTCTCCTTCCTTCGATCACTCTCGAAACTTCGATCTCTCGATCGTCCTCTTCGGTTCCTTCGCGATTCCATCCTCATTCGATCGATGTGTGATCGAAATTACGGAGAGGTAAGGCGAATTCGAGATTTCGAAGAATCTGGAAAAATAGAAGATGAGTTTGATGCAAAAAAAAAAAAAAACAAACAATGTTTGACGAATTTGTCGAGAAATTTTTCAAAGAATTTTTACAACAATCTAATATTAAAAAAAAAAAAGAAAAACAGCTCGTGCACGGCAGAGAGAACCGCGTAAAAATATTTCATATCACCGAAAAAAAAAAAAGTAAAGAGAGAGAGAGAGAGATAAAAAAACTCGGTTCTATTGTTTCTACTCTTGGGTAGAAATACAATCCCGTAAATTATATTCGTTGGAAGAGAAATTGAGATTTGTATCGTTCTAATTAACGTGGTTGTAACCGTGGGTCGAAATAAATACTTGGGTTAATTCGATGGTCGTTTCCTCGTTGAACGAGTTCCTCTTTCGGGGTGAACGATAAACGATGCCATTTGACGATGCGTGGGGGGGATAGGGGGAGGGGAGAAAACTGCAAAGTGCTTAAAAAATAAACAAGGGAAAAATCGTTCGTTGTTTATCGCGAAAAAAGGAAGAAAAAGAGAGAAGAACGTAAACGTTTACCCTGGTGCACCCTAGTTAAAAATCAAATATTTTCTTTGAACGATACCTCCCTCCCTCTCTCCCTCGAATCGTTTAATTCATTCTTTCTTTTTTCAACTTTTCGAACGACGCGATCGATTAATTTTACTTTTTCCAATGTAACCACTGGTCAAGTGTCGATTAATAATTTTTCCACCCTCGACGATCGCTTCCCCTCTGTGATTGACTAATCCGCCATCCCCAGCGATTTATCTAAATTCCAATCCGGATATCGCGATACGGGACGCTCATCGTTTCCTTTTTTTCTTTTTTTTCTTTTTTTTAATCTTCTTTTTAATCTCTTTTTTTAATCGACGATTTTGTAACCGGATGAGATGGATGGAAGCTTCGAGGGGAGGGGAGGATTTTTACACGACGTTTATAATTCGTCCGCGTTACGAGGAATTGGACGTAACGCTTTCTTATAAATTTCGTTTAACACCGATATTTACGCGAGAAAGATCGATCATACGATCCTTAACGTAACGAGAACACGAGACCCATAAAATTGTCGACGAAATGGAAATTTTATGG